CCATGTTGTTGTTTTCAATAGAGAGGATGTCAGAGGGAGACTGATCAAAGTTCAGAAAGAGACTCTGAACTGTGTGGGGTTGCTGGATAGCACGTGAGCTTCAAGTCCCCTTAATTCCTCATTAAAACACCTACTTGAGGGATTCTGCATTTTCCCCTTGACTCACGTGCTCACGCCATGGAGAAAGCTCATGCTTTTCCATCTCCTTGGTCATCGGTTGAAGATATAAGTTAGGATCACCTTTATGGAGAGCCGTTTGGCAGTAGGGATCCAAGGCCTTACAATGTGAGTACTCCGACCCCGCGATTACACTTTTGGGATTTTACACCATGCAGGAGTGAGGCCGTGCATCCGACACGGTTCACAGTAGCAGAACACTGGAGATGTTGTGAGTGTCCAGCAGAATGAGCGGGGCTGAGTTCCTGGTTATCCCACATAAGGCTCTCCAGGCATCCACTCATTCTGCATTGTTTATTAAGCACCTCCTGTGTGCCAGACCCACAGTAGGGGTGATGTCAAGGCTGACACGGCTTCAGCCCACCTGAAGCTCAAAATTTTGTTGCAGCCACAGATTTTGTATAGCGTGAAGCAGAAAAAGGAAAAAGAAAAAAAAGAAAAAGAAAACGGGCACAAAGTGTTTTGACAGTGTGCTCTCATGTCCGTTGTATGAATAGAAAAACCTGGAAGACAGTCTGAATGAACAGAGGCCTAGAAGCTTTGGGCAATGGCCATATATCCATGCATATTTTTCCCCTTCAAATTCTTCTCTAGTTTGCAAGTTTTCCACAGTGACCATTATGATTTTTATACATTTTTTCTTTTAATGTGTCTTGGACGATAGAGAAAAAGAAGTGAGCAGACCTGGATTCTAGATTCAGCTCTTCCTTAAACATGCGGTGAGCTCTTGAGCAAGCCAGAGAAGCCTGGGGCGCAGTCTGGGGAGAGAGGCCTCTGAGGCTTGCAGCCTGCGGTTCCCAGATCCCAAGCTCTCGTCTCCTCTGAGGACACTGGGGGATTGTGCCGCATGGTTGGCAGCCTGGGAGCTTTCCCAGGAGGCAGGACTGCGGCCAGGCTGCTGACGCCCCAGTCCCCGGGCACCCTTTTGGATGTCCTGGGTTCTGGTCCTCTAGGAATCTGAGGTGTGCTCAGAGGAGGAAAAGGAGTTTGTGTATTAGGCGTATGTAATTAAATTAAGGAAGTGCTTCTAACCCTGCAAATGAACATCGACTTGGATTATCTCAGCCAAATGTCACCGCACCCCGAGAAAACAGGTGACGGCAGCTCCACTGAGTGAGCCGTGTCTGGGGCCAGTTATGGTGTGCGAAGCATTTTGCAGACATTTTCCTAGTTGAGGCTCCTGGCGACACCCCTGAAGTGGGTGCTCATCACCCCTGTTTTATAGGTGGGGACCTTCCACTCAGAAAGCAGGTAACCTGAGCAGACCACTCTGGGAGAAGGGGCTGGGAATCCAGTGCGGCTCTCTGTGCTCTGAAGCGGCGTCTCTAACCTCTGCTGGGTTGTGCCTCCCACTCCGAGAGGCGTCTCTAACCCCCCCTGGGTTGTGCCTCCCGCTCGGAGAGGCGGGCTGTATCGTCGCAGACCGGCAGGTGTCGACAGCCAGGCGGTGCGTGAGGGGCAAGGTGCTGGTGCCTCAGGGGGGCCGACTCTCAGATTGGGCACAGTCCTATTTTTGTTGCAACCGGATGCAGAGCCGGCTATTCTTAGCTGCCTTTTCTGGGAGGGTTATAAACGAGGAAATTGGGGTTCCATGCACGCACATACACACACTCAGAAAGTCTAACCTCCCTGTGATAGCTGTAGTAACCTTTCCTCCTGCTTTGTGATTGGAAGTCAGAAGCCAACTATTAAAACCTCATCATAAAAAATAGAATAGAATAGAATAGAATAGAATAGAATAGAATAGAATAGAATAGAATAGAATAAAACCTCATCATATACCTGCGTCTCACCAAAGAGTGAAACCTTATATCAAGTCCTGACCTTTGTTGTTTGACTGTTATTCTTGAAATAGTTTCCTTGCAGGTTCCAGCTTTGCTTATTTAGTAGGTTTTTTTTTTCTTTTTTGAATGAGACATCGGGGAGGTATGGGGGACACACAGGTTGGAAACTTTAAGTTAAAATGAAGAGAAAGAATTGTTTCTTTTCCCCCATCGAAACAATGTTTCCATCGATATGATAGATACTATTTCCTGTGTTTCAATTTCAGTTCTTCTGTAGCTCAGATTCTTCTGATTCATCCTATATACCAGTGTCTCTAAAATACGGCTTTCATGTTATCATCTCCTCCTTCACCTAGAACATTCAGTGTCTCCCCATTGTCTCGGATAAAATACAAACTTGTAGGTTTTTTTTTCTTTTTTAAAGATTTTATTTATTCATGAGAGACACAGAGAGAGGGGGGCAGGCAGAGACACAGGCAGAGGGAGAAGCAGGCTCCATGCAGGGAGCCCAACGTGGGACTCGATCCCCGGTCTCCAGGATCACACCCTGGTCTGAAGGCGGCGCTAAACCGCTGCGCCACCCAGGGATCCCTCCAACTAGTAGGTTTTGAACTCATGTTCCTTCTTCATCTGTCTGCAACCTTGCGTTTCCAGGGCCATCTTCCCAGTTATTCCCAGGAGTGATCTTGCTCACACGAACCGGTGTCTCCGGCACGGCTCTCTGAAGATACCCTTGGCCTTTCTCACTTTGAGCATTTGTTTTATTGCTCAGTGCAGGAGAGAACCAAGTAGAAAGTTCTCCTTTCCTTTTTCCTTTTTCTGAAGTCTTCCCCTTTCTTTCAGGCACTAGTCACATTTTCCTTTTTTTTAAACAAAAACGAGTAAACATTCCTTGAACATCCCAGCCTGGGGTGGCCCGAGGTAGGCGATCACTCATTCTCTGCAGTTGGAGGCACATGGCCTGTGGGGCTAGACCAGCTCAGCGCCCTGCCCGTCACAGGGGCCCCATGGGCACCCAGTGAAAACAGTATGTACTGAACTGCTGGCTAACAAGCTTCCTGTCCCGGCCACAAAATACTGCTGCACCAAGACAGGACCTCTTACCCTTCTGAAAACAAATAGTAATTCTTCTTGTCGTGTGTGTATGTGTGTGTTCAAAATGCATATGTTGGGGGGGGGTATTAGCTAATTATTTGTCATGCATTTGCCACCCATGACTAATCCTATTATATGAATGAGATGGAAGCCCAGAGGTGAAAATACTTGTGTGACCTCACAAAGCTGAGCCTGTCAGTAGAACCAGCCCTTGAACCCACATTTCCTTCTGCTCACTTAGGGGGCCACTGTTCCTTTTAAACCATGAGTCATAGGCCGTCAGGAACTTCTGTAAATATTCTGATGGCTTTTGTCATCCTCTCTTTTTCTCGCTAAAGGGCCAGATAGTAAACATTTTAGGCTCTGCAGGCTATGTGGTTTCTATTGCAAGTCCTCAGCTCTGGCCCTCTGGTGGGAAAGCAGCCATGGGCACTGCGTAACCCAGCGGGTGGGGCTGTGTTCCAATAAAATGTTATTTACGAAAACAGGCAGTGGATTGGATTTGGCCTGCGGGTTATAGGTTGCTGCCCCCCTGCTAGAGAGATGGTTTTCTTCTCTCTGTTCCTCATATTGGGCTGAAAAGTCAAGTTTAGGCATTAAGGAAATTTCAGTTTGAATTCTGAGCAGGCCCGGCCATAAAGTATAGGCCAATACGTAAATTATGTCCGTGGCTGGGAAGGCTGGCTGGTTAGGGATAAACTGGGAAGTTGCAGATGTTCAAGGGAAAGACTGTGTACCTAACTAGCAGTAGACAGCAGGTCATTCCAGGAACACGGGTGTTGGTCTCAAGGGGGAACAACTCTCAGCATTCGGGGCTGTGCTAACCAGCATGGGGGTGCTCTCCACTGTAGAGCTGCACTATCTCCCCACACAACCAGACTGTTTGTTCCGTCATGCCCAAAGCTTTCACCTGTAGCCCACAGGCTGTCCCATTGCTCCCATCTGAACGTGGACCCCAAGAAAAGTCACAGTCATGACAGATGTCTTACAGTGAGCTCCCTGGTCGTATTATCACCCACTGTTTTTATTGGTGGCAGAGTGGAGCAATCCATCTGCATGGACATAAAGGTGTATCATAGGTAATTGTTACTAGGAATGGCTGATACCCCTGTCCTGAAAGGAACAGGTGGGTTTGGGGGAAGAAAGTCTTAAAAACTAAGACTTAGCGTAGCCCCATGACTCCCTCCTGAGAACACATGCACACTCCAAGGGCAGACCCCCTGACCCCAATAGTGCTTTATCATTAGGGTTGGCAAGTTTACCCTGGTTCTGAGCGGGGAGAGCTATTTGCCCTTTTATTTCAACAGAGACTATGCGAGGCTCAAGACCGAGAACACAGACATTTTCCCACCATCTTCAAGGAGTTGTAGAAAGTTATCAGGAAATCTTGATTAATCCCGGAAAAGGATTTTGATGTTTTTTTTTTTTTATTTTTTTCTGAATTGAAGTATTGTCGACACACAGTGTAACAAAGCTTCGGGTGTACAGCATAGTGATTCCACGTTTTGCTGTGCTCACCCCAAGTGTAGAAGAATTTCTGTGGCTTCTTAGTAGCTTCAACTACAAAGAAAGAAAAGGAAGAGATGTTTGATCTTTACGCTTAGGAGAAAAACGCCCTGGTTTTAGGCAGTTCACATAAATCCTGAGCAGGTAATTCTTTAGGTTGGCTCTTACCTGTTGTTCTATTATAATTCTCTTTATTTTCCACATAATAATAGTAAACACTTGCAGGGCATTTAGCCTGTGCCCTGAATGCCTGTAGATGCTTTACATAGGTCTATGTAATCCTCCTGGCAGCCCTAGGTCAGTGGTATTACATCCCCATTTTACAGGCCAGGACAGGAACAGCCTGTGCGCTTACTCATCCTGCTGCCTGCCTCTTGACTTTTATTTATTTATTTACTGGTTAGTTAGTTTTTATTTTCATTCCAGTTAGTTAACAGAAAAAACATGGCATGCTTCATGAATCCACCTGTCATCCTTGCTCAGGGGCCATGCTAATCTGGCCTGGATTGTTCCAGTTTTCTTGTTTGTGCTGCCAAGGGGGCCCTGCCTCTCATCTTTTAGATGGATGTTGCGGCCGGCAAGAGCACAAGTGTATTCCTTCTAAGGGATCCGTTCCTTCCAGAGTGGACTGACCAGCCCATCGTTCTATTCCTTACTCAGCAAAGATTCCTTCCCTTGTCTGCCGGGCTGGACTCTGCCTGTCTGGCTTTGCTCAGAAGGTTACGGTGTCTGTCCCAGTGGGTCATTGTGGCTGCCAGCAGTCTTGGGTGAGGTGAAGGAGATCCCCTCTGTTATGTCACCTCTGTGAACTGTCTTCAGCCCAGAGGGGCACACCTGTTTCCCAAAGGTGCACCTGTTGACCAAGCTCACAGGACAGGTGTGATAAATCAGAAGGCCCGTGTGTTAACTGGCAGTGAGATAGACTACTGAAGGGGTTTGGTGAACTTGGGAATTGGGAAGGGAAGGTTGGGTGATTTGAATGCTCAGGGCCATTGGGAAAGTCAGTGGGCCACAGCGACCTCTCCCTCCCCTGCAGGAGGACACTTAACTTCTTTAGATTTGTTAGCACAGTACATCCTGAGGCTGGGAAGTGGGTGTCTCTCCTTCTCTGGGACTTTGCATCTGTATACGCCAATCTTGCAGAAGGATGGCCCTTTCTATTCTAGCTGGTGGGGCTAGTAGGGCCAAGCAGAGACACTGAGGTGAGCAACAATAGTGACCACTGACACTATTTTAATGGTAAAGTCCAAGGTCTTGCGTCCCACTGGTTCCCTGGGCTTCTCACTGCTCCAAGAAGGTAAAGCACACCCTGCCTTGCAATTTCATCTTTTTTTTTTTTTTTTTAAGTAATCTCTACACTCAACGTGGGGCTTGAATGCATGACCCCAAGATCAAGAGTCATGTGCTCCACTAACTGAGCCATCCAGTTGCCCCCACTTGCATCATTTTCATCTTTTAAATTTTTTAAAAAATTTTTATTTTTTTTAGAGGGGGGGGGAGGGAGGGAGAATCTGAAGTAGACTCTATACTGAGTGTGGAGCCTTCTCACAACCCTGAAATCAAGACCTGAGCTAAAACCAAGAGCCAGACGCTTAACCACCTGAGCCATGCGGGCTCCTGTCATCATTTTTTGACATCAAATGAGTGGTACCAAAACATAGCGGGTCCTGTTTTGAGTGGGGAGGGCCGATACAGAGGGTTCAGGTCACTGGGGAGCAGAGCCTCGCAGGAGGGCCCAAGTTCTTCAGACACAAGACTGAGTCAGCAGGGAGTTCATCAGACAGGAAGCACTGTGCAGAGGCCACAGTTGTTCTGAATTGAAGGGAAGACAGGCGGCCGGAGGCTGGGATGGGACCCCTGAGGAAGAGCCACCTGATGGGACCCGTGAGGAAGAGCCACCAGGGCTGGGGAGGAAGGAGAGCTGAGGCTGCAGCTGTTCAAGGCTTCCTTTTCTGCAGTCAGCCCAACGCGCCCTCTTTTCTCCTTGTGTCCCTCCAGCCATCAGCCTTCAGCTCTCAGCAAGACCTAGGCCCGTGGGCCCACTGTCACCACACCTGTCACGCCATGGCCTCATCAGCATTACCTGAACCATGAATAACATCAGAGCAGACGACTGGTCACTGACCAAGAGGTCTGGGCCAGGGTGACCCACTGCAGAGTCCCACTGTTCCCAGTGACAAGGATTAAACCCTCTACCTTGCAGGGAACTGAAATAGGGCTCTTGTCTGCCCTGTGGGCTGGAGATAGCCCCTTCCTCCCCAGCCCTATTCAATTCGGGAGCCTCGTTTAAGAAAAAAATGTAAAATTACAAATGATGAAAGAAATGATGATGCTGAAAGAAAATGTAAACAAGTCTATGTTTAAAAAGCTGGCATCCCAAACATCACAAAATCCAGAAAAATAACACATGATTATTAATCGGCTATTTCACATATGTCTGCATTTCCTTTTTTTTTTTTTTCCCCTACATTTTTTGGGCTGTATGCTCTTTGATCACTTCTTCCCACAACAGTGATTTCAGAATACCATTTTCCCTCCAGATAATAGAAAGGTAATTCACTCATTTCTCTAGCTTGGGTGATTGGGACTTGTTTTCTATTATTGATGGATTAGGGAAAAAAGCTTGTTTGCTTCACAAGTGGTTATTGGTAATGTCATGTAAATTTTTAGGATGATTGTCAAATGTGGGGGCATCTCTCTCTTTTTTTTTTTTTTTTTTTTTCCTGTATGAGCCATAAGACTTCAGGACATTTAAGTGCTTTTTTAAAAATTTTTATTTTTAATTTAATTTTTAATTTTTATTTTTAGTTTTTTCATTTAAGTGCTTCTGTGTGGTGACAAAGCCTGTGCTCATTCCACACGTCTGGGGTCCTTCAGGGCCATGTGAACAAGGGGTGCTGATGCCTTAAGCTCCAGTATCTGGTGGCAAATCACCCTCCTCGATATAAATGTTACGTAGAACCTATGTGATCATTTTATGTATTGACACTCATCTTTTTAATTTCATAGTTTTAGGATTACTAGAGAAAGTGTTCTCATTGACAATAAATATAATCTTACATGAGTGTGGTATGTGCAGTGCTCACTCCTTCCGTATAATTTGCTAATTGCCTACTCTGATCAGCCTACTTCATGTTGATCACTGGGAAGCATTCGATGACATAAAGCAGATAAGACACAGCTCAGTGTCTTCATCTAGTAGCTGTTCAATAAACAGCCATTAAGGCTCGCATCACCCCTTCATCGGCACCTGATTTGGAACTGGGTGCTTGGAGATGTGAAAGTGGGATATTATCCCTCCAGGAGTTAGAGATGGGCCTAATTTTGGGTCCAGCTCCAAGACCAAAGTGGGAGTCAGGGTTTGTCTCTGTTATAAATAGAATGGTCCTCGGGGCACCTGGGTAGCTTGGTCAGTTAAATGTCCAACTCCTGATTTTGGCTCAGGTCATGATCTCAGGGTCCTGGGATCAAGCTCCATGTCAGGCTCTGTACTGGATGTGGAACCTGCTTGAGATTCTCTCTTCCTCTGTGTCCTGTTTCCTCGCTTGCGCTCTCTCTCTCTCTCTCAAAAATAAATAAATAAACCAACAAATAAAGAGAATAAAATATTTAAAAAATACAATGGCCTTCCCTCATTAGCCATGAATTCTCTACAGTTAATCTCTATCCATGAATTCTTCGGTCATCAATAATACTCTATAAACATAGCCACAGTTACATATTAAGCCATACTTTTAAAGAGCTCGATGATAATGTTTAGTTTGCTGTGTCTCCCCCAAATCTTTTGATTCTTACCAAGTTCAGCCACAGAGGTTGTCAAAATATGGTTTTCTATTTTGCAATGTTAAAGACTCTCCTGTGGCAGAAATATCTGTGTACAGGGAGTCAAGAAGCTGGAGTTGCCACAAACTCTGCATGGGTACCTGCTGGGGTGCTTTTGGTTGCAAATGACAGCAAAGTCACGTTGAGTGTCCAAAAGACAGAGGGAGTCTCAATACCCAGCGCGTGCACTGGGTCCCAGCTGGGCCTGCCCGTTCTTTCTTTCATGCCCATCCAGGGGCTGACCAGCGGGGTCAGTCCCACTTATTCCACGGGACTGGATGTTTGGGGTGCTGTTGAACACTGGCAAGGACACTACCCGTGTGCATTCTGTGACACGTGGGCCCTAAATCACTTCGCTCCTTTGGACTTTATTTGCCTCATTCAATTAGGGGCTTGTCCGACACCATTAGTAAAGCCCTTCCCAAGAGTAACCTTTAAGATTTTATTTTCTGTTTGCATTAATTGGTTTTTGTAATGAATAAACAAATCTTTTCTGGCCACTGCTGTCAAGCCAAGAATGTAATTAGTAAATAAATAGCTCTGTGTAGATTAAATGATAAGTCAGGGCAGTCAGCCTTAGTGACTTTCTTCCTACTCATGAGTTGTAGATTTTGATCTAGAAAAATGGGCCATAGAGGCTGTGAGGGAAGAGCCTCGGAGCATGGCTGCTAAAACCTGCCCTGACTTAGTAAGCGCCTGACTTCGTAAGGGTATCTTTTGCACAGCAGACGCGACTTGGTTGTTCCTTCACAGGAGATCAGGGAAGGTCTGGGCAGGCCTCCTGTTTCTTACCAAAACCATTGGAGCTTTGCTCTGATGCCGGTATCGCAAGGAAGCCAGGAAAGGCTGCATTTGGATCCGGAGGGAGCTGGTGTTGGCAGAAGCCAGAAGGACTCTAAATGGCAGTGCAATCAGATCCCTGTGGATAGCTGAGGGTTTCTCGGGACCGAAACCACAGACCTCAGCTTTCTACTCCGTCCACTTTTTACAGAGCCTTTGGCTAGCCCTGAGATGAGATTCCAGTCATGGCAGCAGGAGAGCTTTCAAGGAAGCACAGGGAGGTGGTTCATGACAAAACGAACTCCTCGGCCTCGGTACCCAAATCTAGGTGCCAGAGATGGCAGCGAGCTTTGGGAACAGGTCTCCTCCATGTCTTCAGTGCCCGGGGCTGGGAGAAGATTCCAGAACACCTGTGGGGCCCATGGCTGCCTCAGTAGTTTTGCCCATCTGTCCAGGACCTACGGGGAAAAGTTAATCGGATTGGTAGAGCGGTCAGTTTATTTTCACTGCGACTTGCTGATTTTTGAATGAATTGATAGAGTTGCCAAAGGTTGGTCTGTGCTTTGATCGAATTCTCTGTAATTTAGCTTCTGGAAGATAGTTCTGGGGTGGTGGTCAGCACTGTTTCTAAACTGGCAGGCAATACTCTCTGACTTTGTGTGCAAAGTACAAAAGTGCAGAGCTCGAAAATGGTTTCTAGTGAAATGGAAGCATTAGCTTGAAGGGAAGCTATCAGATCTTGATCTCAGTGGTCATAGCAGATGGAGAAAAGGTTCATTTGTTGGCGTGGGGGAGGTTAGAGTATGGATTGAAGAGAGAGCACATCGTTCTGTGAGTTGCATAACGGGCACCTCCATAGCACCTTGTTTGTTTCTTAGGGTCCATCCGAACGGGAGATGTGGATAGACTTGGAGTTTCGGGCCTGGCCTCTGGAGCTGTCAC